CAACCAGCTCAATGCCTCAAAGCACAATTGCCCTGGACTCAGAGCTGTTGGGCCAGACTCTGCCCCTGAAGAGAAAGCCTGCTGGCCAAGTGGAAGCTGGTCAGCCATAGGTATGGCAGTCAAAGGCAGGCCACAAGAGTCCAGCCCTGCTGGGACTATCAGAGCCCAGACCTGGCCTGAATCCCCAGGATGGACACACCCTGCTGTGGCCTGTGTCCAGGGTGGACCCCCAGCCTCACACTATTCATGAAAGTCTTGTTGAATGAATCCTCTCACTCTAAGCCCAGACAAAAAATATTATGATTAAGGTTTTTCTACTTAGTAGATGATGGATTATTATTCTGCAAGTGACAGAAAACCCAACTCAAAATACATAGGGTGGCCCAACATGGTGGGCACACATGTAATCCCATTAGCTCGGGAGCATGAGTTCTGAGAATCCAGAGTTCAAAGCCAGCCTCAGCAATGATGAGGCGCTAAGCCACTCAGTGAGACCCTGACTCTAAATAAAATACAAAATAGGGCTGGGATGTGGCTTAGTGGTCAAGTGCCCCTGAGCTCAATCCCAGTACCAAAAAAAAAAAAGGAAAGTGGCCATCCCTTTTTCTCCTGGCATACACCATCTTAGTGACGCAGTTGGTTCCCTACGAGCAATCCCTATCTGTTGCATGGCCTCAGCTCTCAGGTCCCGTCTCCACCACCAGGCCTTCCCTCAAGGAGCATTGATGCACTGGAGCTGAGGGGTGGCCTCACCTGGCCTGCACTGAGGGACTGCACTGGGGAGCTCACCCTCACACCGAGGGGAGGTGAGGCTGGCTGCACCCACAGGTGAGGAGAGAGACTGTGAGTGTGACCCTGATCCACTCTTGCTGTAGTGCATGGTACAGAGGTCCCTGCACATCTCAAACTGAGCTGAAATTCATCGCTGAATTCAGGGCAGACTAGAGGTGGGGGCAGGACCAAGGTAAAGCAAGCCTTGGACATACACCAGGTTACTGTCACAGACCCAATGGCCTCTGGAATGAAAATGCTGTGACATCAGCAGGGCGAGCTCTGGCCACTGTGAGGATGCACATGCTCTGTATGCACCTGCATCCAGAGCTCACCTGAGAACCCGAAGGTCGTCCCAACAGCTTGAAGAGGTGGGACGATGGCCAGGCACCATCTCTGCCTGCAGAGATTGTTGCCAGCACACAAGACGGGCACCTAGAAGAGGATGTGTCCACCTTCACCAGGTCCTGATACTTCAAAGAGCCCAGCTACAACCTCCAGTGCGGACCTTAGTTCTCCACTCTCTGTGGCTCTGGTTGGGGCACTCCTCCCACACTTCACAGAGTGCTGGCTGCTGGTCCTCCCACAAATCCAGTGGTCCTGCCTGAGGGTAACTGTTCTCGGGCCTCCATCTTCTCTTCTGGGTGGTTTTCCATGTAGTCAGGGAGTTGTATTTAAAGATATTACTGCATCAGCAGGCAGCAATGAGAGATGGCCATTTCCATGCTGGGCAGCTGGGCTCACTGCTGAGCCTCTTGCTTTTGCACCATCCCTGGTGCCCGTGGTCTCAGGGAACGAGTCAGCAGGGTCACAGGCCCAAGAACCCAGCATCTCTGGGTTCTCTGCTACAAGTTGGAATCGACAGATGCCCCGATTCCACTCTGCACCATGCCACATGGGCACAGCGCCCAGCACCATGGGAGCCCACTGCCTCCAGTGCCCTCTGCAGGATCCTCGCACAGCTCCTGGCCTCTCCAGAGCCAGCCTTCCTGCAGCAGGCACCAGACTCTGTTTTGAAGCAAGTGTCCTCCATGTTATGCGCCCAGCCAGTTCTTCCACTGCTGTTTCCTGATGACCTTGGGCCAGTGCTCATTCAGCAAGGTCAGCTGCCTTGCACCTCTCTGTCCCCAACCCCTGACTGAAATGGTGCCTGCAGTGTCTATGCAGAGAGCTGGTCAGCATCTCTTGGTTCCTCCAGGTCACCTCCAGTCACCTTCTCTCCTGCCTCTTCTCCCCTGGCTGCTCCCTGGGCACCTTCTGTTCTATTCTTATTGCGTCCACTATGTGTGGCTGTGTCACTCAGCTCTGCATCACTGTGACCAAAATACCCAACCAGAACAACTCAGAGGAGAAAAAATTCATTTTGAGCTCAGAGCTTCAGAGGTCTCAGTCCGTAGACAGCAACTCCATCACTCTGGGCCCAGGTGAGACAGAGCATCTGGCTGAAGGGCCTGGTAGAGGACGATGTGCAGCTCGTGGTGGCCAGGAAACAGAGAGAGGAAGAGAGCCAGAGGACAAGGATAATCCGCAAGGCACCCCTAGAGACCTGCCTACAGGGACCACTGGGTACAGTAGTCCTCTCAAATTATTAATCCACAAGGTGGATTAATCCACTGATTAGGTCACAGCTACCATGACCTGATCATTTCACCTCTGAGCACTCCTGCATTAACACAGGAGCCTTCGGGGACACCTCCCCTCCAAGCCCCCCTGGCTTCAGTTGGATAGCTGCAGGCTCCTCTTTGGGTAGTGAGTTGCCCTCTCTCTGCGTGTGCCCTGTGAGCTCTGCCCCTTGCCTCCCTCTGACGTCACCTAAGAGAGCAGCTAGGAAGGTGGAGCCATCTCATCCACTGTGACTTGATTTTCCTGAGGACTCAGGACCGTGTCTGGCCGTCCCATGCACATGCCCCATCTGCCTGGCCTGGGAAGTGGTGGAGGGGCCTTGGAGGGACATCACCTGTGCCTCTGCCTGTATCCGCCCCTTGGCCTGTGCTCTCCGCAGGCCTGACCTGCGTGTCCGCCCAGGATGGCTGACCTCTGCCTGTGCCTGTTTTGCCCATGGTTCTGCATTTCTCGTGTGAACATTCACTGTGCGTGGCAGGACGTCTGCTTCAGGTGTGTTTCAGGGCATGGTCTTTCCCTGCCTTCCAGCGCCACCTGTTCTGAGGAAGCCCTCCACAGGTAAACCTGAAGACCGTGGGTCAGGAGAGGAAGTCTGCAATTGGGTTTTGAGCCCTCAGTTCTCATAAACACACGGCCTCTGTTATAATGGATGGACGGTAAGAGCCCTCCCTAGCCGTCGTGCCACCTGGGTTCCCTTTGGTTACTGGGCTCTCTGAGCTGCTGAGCACCAGGAGAAAAACCAGGGCTCCCAAGGCAGTCGCCTACCTACCTGCAGCCTACAGTATGCGTCCATCCAGAGTGACCCGTGGGTCCAGATCACTGGGCACTGACCACAATGCCTCACTAGATGTGGATTCCTTTTTCTGTTTCTATTTTTGTTTTATTTTTTTTAGTTACAGATGGACACAATATCTTTATTTTGTTTATTTATTTTTATGTGGTGCCGTGGATCAAACCCAGTGCCTCACATGTGTGAGGCAAGTGTTCTGCCGCTGAGCCACAGCCACAGCCCCTAGAGGTGGATTCTGGAGGCTCACCCATGTGACCAAACGCCTGCGTCTAAGGCAGGTGGGGACTGAGGACAGCCTGGCTGTGCCTCTGCTCCTCTGGGGCCACGCTCTTCCAAAGCATCTTGGTGCTGCTCCCAGGGCAGGCCAGGAGCCTGAGAGTGGCACCCACTCTGTCTGCTGACGCGCTTCCCATGCCGAGGCCTCTGCAGGCTCACATTTCTAAGGAGGCTCACAGGGTCTTGGGCCCCTCCACAGGGATTTCCCCAGAGAGAACACCTTTCAGGGCCAAGGCAGCCTCGTGGCTGGCAGGACCCTTACCCCCAGGAAGCCAGCTCCTCTTGCCTTCCTGCCCCACCCACCCTGGCAGCCTCTACCCTGCTCTGTTACTGTATCTTGCTATTTCGAGACTATTAGGAGTGGATGCTCATGGTTGTGATTCCTGGCTCTGCAGTCCCTGGGGACCTGCCAGGCCTGGGCTGGGAGTCCAAATGCAACCTAGCACCCCCTGCAGACTACCTGGCTGTTCCCAGTTGAGGCTTTAAGGATGAAACGTCCACCTGCCGGGTCTGTGAACCCACCTTGGTTTGGCTGGGTTTGATGCCTAGGAGTACAGCAGTAATGGCAGGGTTGCCTGCTGCCCTTTCCCCCTGTCAGTGGCCTTGTTAGTGGATTGCTAATAGCACTGTCCCTGAACACAGGTGGCAGGGCCAGGCCAGGCCAGTGCCAGCGGCTCTTAGTCTAATTGGGGAAGGGGCACCAGGGTCAGGGAGTGCTTGGCCCCACCTGGGGAGGAGGCAGGAGGCAGGAGGAACAACAGGCCCAAAGGACGTGGTGTGGGGTGGCACTGGCAGGCCAGGGTCAGTGCAGACATGCAGAGCTGGAGAGGGGCTCGGTGCAGTGCCATTCCCAGGCTGAGCAAGAGAAAAGATCCTCAACAAAGAGACAGCAAGGCAAGGCCTCCAGAGCCACACAGACTCCTGTGCTGCTCCATGGTGACCAGCACAGTCCATCCTGGAGCCCCCTGGTCCCCACTACATGGACGTGATGTCCCAGGGGGTGTAGGACTGTGGGTGAAGAGGACATGTGGGCTTTCTCCACCCTGAGTCAGGGATTGCCCATAGGATGTGCCCATCGAACTTGGCCTGAGTTGTCCCTCCCTCGAGTCACCAGGGAAGAGGACACCTAGGCCGCAGGTGGGCCTGCCTGTTCCTCCCAAGAACCCTGGAAGCTCCCAAGTCTCCAGACTCATGCTTTTGTAAGGGCACACTTGGGACTTCTGGGCTTTGCTGCTCAGAACTGAGTGTGCACACGCCTTTGAACAGAGGCTAGCAGGGACATGCTTTGCTCACTTGGTTCTCAACTTCAGGCTTCAAAAGAAGTGGTTCAGAGTGCACTGATGAGCAGAGCCCTGAGGGGCACCAGGAGGCGTGGATGGTGCCAGGGCCAAGGCCAGCCAGCATGTACCACCTTCCAGCACCCCTGCTTCTGTCCTCTGTCCCATTAAACAGATAGGACCTCAACGAGCGTGGCAGTCTAGAAATAAGCGCGCGGCCTCCACTTTCAAGTTGCTTTTCACAGTCTCCCTCTGTCTTGCAGATTTTTTATTTAAGTTCCTGGTGATTGGAAATGCGGGGACTGGCAAATCTTGCTTACTTCATCAGTTTATTGAAAAAAAATGTAAGTAACGTCCCCAGGCCATGGTCAGGAGAGGATGCCTTTGTGCTCAGAGGTGCAAGCTTTAAAGGGCTTGGAGAGAAAGCTCTGGGGCCTCTGAGAACAGGGTGGTGTGCATTTCACCTAAAGCTGTGAGGTGAATAGGGCGGAGGGGACTTGCCTCCCGCAGCCCCTGACCTCAGTGTTGCTGACCAGATGGGGTGACCTCTTTCCCTAAAGGTCTAAAATGAAATGCTTTGTTTTTGCTTCTCCTTTTCAGTCAAAGATGACTCAAATCATACAATAGGAGTGGAATTTGGCTCAAAAATAATAAATGTTGGTGGTAAATACGTCAAGTTACAGATATGGGACACAGCGGGACAAGAACGATTCAGGTAGCTTTTCCTCTGATTTAATAAAGTCTTGGAAACTCGGGTGAAATGATCATGTTCTCTCCACGTACAGGCTCTTGCCCCATGTCCTCCCCTGCACTGCCTCCAGCTCTGCCTCTGGAAGCTCCTGCTGAAGGGGCTAGAGCCCAGAGGTCGAGGAGCCTCTAACTCGGCCAGCTCACTGCCGCAGGTCATGGCTGGAGCCATGTTTAGATGGGAATCTCAGCAAAGCCAGAGCGCATCCGCCTGTTGTTCCCTTCCTAGGTGGGGTTTTGAAAAGCTGCTTGGGGCTCTGCTCTGTTACACATGCAGGCCCAAGGTTGTGGCTAGATGCCTGCAGGGTGGGTGCTTGGCGGGCTGTCAAGAACCCGGGTGCAGGACTTGGGCCACGCTTGGTTGGGTTCCTACAGGTACACCAGATCAGAGCACACACTCAGTGTTGAGATTCAGGAAATAAAACTCACTCCACTACAAACCTTTAGCTTTTCATTAAGGTTGGTACATACTGTGCGTTAGTAATATTCAGAAATACCACAGTGTCCCCGCCATCACTGCTCCTGGATACCCTGGCTGAATGGTGGTCCCACCTGATGCAGCCTCCACCCCAGAGCCCCCAGGACATGAATGACCAGGAGTGCCTCTCAAGCAGGTAGGAAAGAGGCTGCTCTTCTGTGTGGCAGCCCCTCCTGGGAGTCCCAGAGAAGGCGGGGCTTGGAGACACCAGCTTCCAGACCCTGGAGAGGTGCAGCCTCTGGGGTGAGAGTCTGAGGCTCTGCCTGGCAGGGCCGGCCCACTGCAGGAGAGCCCTGGCCTCCCCCTGTTTCCCCGCTGACTACTGGCAGCCAGCTGTGCTAGTACCAGGCCAAGAAAGGGTGACTGCAGGAAAATGGACAGGTTCGAGGGGTGTCGAGGCCCAGCACTGGCTTCCTGGTACAGCAGCCCCAGGCCCTCCAGGGATCAGAGTAAGGTTGGCAAGTCCTCCCCAGCCCTCTCCATCCCTGGCTCCTAACAGAAATGACCCGACAGAAGAAACGACCACTGAACACAGTACCAATGGTCAAAGAGCCCAAACAAAGAACATCAGCCGGGACTTTCTGGGAGAAGGGGGAGTCCCCAGAAATAAGAACAAAGAGTGCTGAACACATGTGAAGAGTGCCCTCGGGAGGTGTCCCTGAGTGGCCAGCCTCCCAGACAGCGAGGCAGCAGGGGTAGGGCAGAGTCAAGCCAGCCTCAGCGAAGGCCCAGGGTAGACTGCTCCAGGAGAGAGCCAGAGCCGCAGCAGAGCAACCACAGTCCAGGTCGTCGGCCCACTCCACAGCAGGGGATGGTGGGGAGGTCCAGAGCAGGGCAGGCTGAGGAGGGAACTCCCCAGAGCCAAGAGGAGAGTTGAAAGGGTCGGAAGTCAGAGCCGCACTGGGCCAAGTGCAGCACTGGGAGCTCCAAGGTGCTGAGGACCCAGTGAGATGAAGGTGAAAGCTGGCTGTGCAGTCAGAGGCCCAGGGTCCCTTCCCCAGCACCAGGGCGGGGTGGATGCCTTCAGAACTCAGAGGGGAAAGTTTCCAACCTAAAACCCTCACACAGCACAACTGGCAGGTCAGTGCGGGAGCAAGATGGTGGCCAGAAGGTGTGAGGAGGGGCAGAGGCCACTTCCCATGACAAAGCCCAGGGACCCCAACCTGAGGAAGGCCCAGATGGTTGGCACACGCTGCCACCCAACATGAGACTACTGAGGCAGGAAGCACCAGCCCCAAGCATAAACCACTTCAGAGGCACTTTATAGAAATGAGCAGCAAATACCAGAAGAAAGAACCCTGAGACTCACAAGCCTGGGAGTTTGTGATCATCTCTTCTGTGGCCAGAGGAGTGTCCACTCACAGCTATGTCCTTTAACCACTTAACCAACTGTAAAAAAGGAAACCAAGTCCCAGGAGATTAGATCGGGGGGGGGGGGGGGGGGTGACTGGACCCAGGCTGGGAGAGGCTGCTGCCCAGGCCCGCACTACCCCTGAGGGGGCAGGCACCCTGCCCCCCTGCCATCCACGCAGCTGTGCCGCTCTGGGGAAGACACCCTGCCCATCCCAGCCTGACATCCTCCCATTGATTGCATGACATAATTCCCGGAGGATGACACATGTGTTCACACCTCCAGAGTCGTGCTCTTTGACACCAGGCCTGTCTCTTTTGGGGTTCACAAAGCAAGCCCGAGGGTCTGGGGAGGTGGTGCTGGGCAGTGGAGGGTCTTAGTGGTTGAGTTAGAGCTGCTGTTGTCCTTTCAGGTCTGTGACAAGGAGCTATTACAGAGGTGCAGCTGGTGCGCTCCTCGTCTATGACATCACCAGGTAATGCCAGCTCCCCTGAGGCGGGCATTGGTGCCCTATGTCCCCGGGGCTGGCCTTGGCCAGATGCCCAAGGACAGGTGCTTTGTGGGGTCTTGGAGGTCTTTGAGAAACATTGGGAGGCTTCTGTAGATGAAGCCCCTGGTGCCGGATGCTCTCCTGCAGACCCACAGAGCTCTCCATTAGCATTATCAGAAGTGACCCAGGGAGGTGGGGACACAGCTCTGGCTCAGGCTGCTTGTGTCCTGGCCCAGCTGCCCTATGTGTGACCTCACAGGCCAAGACTTGGCTGCCTGGGTTCCTTGCCTGTAGGTGCGTGTGATGGGGACCACATGGTCCTCACAAGGCTGTCGGAGGGTTTGATCGGTTTACGGAGCACAAACAGGGTAACCCTTGGACACATGTGGCAATTCCATTGAGACACAGATTAAAAATTCATTTCCCTGGTTGCACTGGCCACATTTCAAGTGCTGATGTGTCTGTGGCATCAGACAGCACAACATATAGAGGGCTCCTGTCCTTGCGGAAATCCCATGCACCATGCTGATCCCGGGATTCAGGCCTAGCTCAGACTCAGGGTGCAGAGGCCACTTGCGAGCGTCCTTCTGAGTAGGAACCTGTCCAGGGATGGAGTGTCACATGGCTGCCCCTCTCTGGCCTCCGAGGCGTGAGGGCATCAGGCTGCAGATGCACCTGCCCTTAGCTGTAGGAGGGGAGAAAGCGGGTCTGAGTAGGCCCTGAGAGGACGGCCTGGCCACGGCCTGCCTGCAGGGGCTGTGGGGTGGTGCTGTGTATCTAGGGCTCCTGAGGGCAGAGGAGGGGGTAGCAGTTGTTCCTACACAGTCTCTAGCAGAATCCACCTGCTGGACTCCCAGGAGCAGAGCGCAGCACAGGCAGGACGGTTGATGGAGGGGTGCCCAGCTGCCCAGCGGTCAGGCACCAGGCTCTCGCACCCTCTGTGCTTCTGAAGAGTCAGGGCTCCTCCTCCTGAGCCCTGGTAGCTTGGGTACATTCAGGTTCCCCAGGGGACCCTAAGGCCGTTACCCGGCATATTGCTGAGCAATGGAGTAGGACGAGCGGCTGGAAAGATTGCTGGTCTTATAAAATACATGTATCATTTTCACAATCTTGTGTCATGCAGCCGAGAAACCTACAATGCGCTTACTAATTGGTTAACAGATGCCAGAATGCTGGCGAGTCAGAGCATCGTGATCCTCCTCTGCGGGAACAAGAAGGACCTGGACACTGACCGGGAAGTCACCTTCCTAGAGGCCTCCAGGTTCGCGCAAGAGAATGGCAAGTCTCTTCCCCCCCGTGGTTCTCGGTGTGGACATGGGTGCCATGCTGGTGCTCTGCAGGAGGGTCAAGGTTAGGCTGCGTTTGGGAAAGCAGAACTCCCACGGGGGTGTGAGCTCAGTCAGCGTGGTCATGCAGCGCACCCTGCCCCAGAGCCCAGGGCCCCAGAGCCACCACGCTGATGGAAGCACCTGTAACACTTTGCAAAGTCTCTTCCGCCCTGGGCTCAGAGTCAGCACTCTAACTTGTGTCTTTGTGCATGGAAAGGAAGCCTCAGACCCGCTTCTGGCCAACTGGCTGTGCTTCCCGTAGACCATCAGAGCCACTTGGTACAGATGGCTTTGACACCTCTGAACTGCCAGATAGGACACACAAGACCACCACATAGCACAGGTGGCTGCTCATGGGTAACAGGATGGAGCAAATGCAGACGTTTTAGGTAACTTGAACTGTGAGTGCCAATCAACAACTAGAATATCCTAAAATCAGGTTTGCTTGGTCTCTAGGCCCCAAACAGTGTTCCTGCAGCTCTGCGGGTTTTTTGCTAAGAAAGTAAATGTCAGAGACGCACGTAAGCCATAGCGAAGGAGCTGCTCAGGGGTCACCGCTCAGTATCCTGTGCCGGGAGGAAGCAGAGGGGGCCTTCACCTCAGGAAGCAGAGGGGGCCTTCACACCTCCTGCTGGGCTCTGGGTGGCTCTGGGGGTGGGGCCACAGTGCACACTGTGGCCCCTCGCAGTGTAGTCCCCTAGCGGGCAGATACTTGCAGGTCCTGTTCCTGGTGAGACAGGTTATTTGGAGAAGGACATTGAGGTTTCCCGTGCACTGGGGGTAGGGACCGTTCCTGCCTCCTTCTTGATGGTCATTGGCACAGGGAGCCTGTTTACAGTTTCATCCATCTCCCCAACGGGTCAGGACCAGCCAAGACAATAGCTAATGTTTGAAAAACATTAGACACCGCCAACATTTTTCAGTTTTGATTTTGTGTTTATGTGTTTGGGGGTCTTCTGTGGAGCTGGGGATTAGATCGAAGGCCTTGCACGTGCTGGGCAAGCACTCTAGAGCCTGGTCACATCCCCAGCAGACCCCAAATCTTTTTTTTTTTTTTTGAGATGGGGTCTTACTAATCCTGTTAACATTTTATTAAAGCATGTTGACATATACTGATTTTATTTTTTCAGAAATAGATGGCTATAGGTCATGAATTGGGCCTTCCTGACATTCTGAGAACACTAAGCAGCCCGTTAGACATTGACAAATGCGATCACCGTCTAAATACACCGTGTCTTGTTTGACATCACTTTCAGAGCTAATGTTCCTGGAGACAAGTGCACTGACTGGGGAGAACGTGGAAGAGGCATTTGTGCAGTGTGCACGAAAAATACTCAACAGAATCGAGTCAGGTAAAGCGCCCTTGGCAGGCATGGCCCTCCTACTTGCTCTTCCTGCTGGCTCTGCAAGGTCCCCTTCTTGCGTGGTGACTGGGCAGAGCAGATTCTCTCTGTACCCACTGAATTAAAATCTCCACTTAGGGTCCAAAGGGCCCATGGCAGAGATGCAAGCCCCAGGCCCAAGGGTGGTGGGCCTGCCTGACCCCAGGGCAGCATCTCCAAGGTCTCTTCAACAGCTTGCTCGTTCTCTCATGGGGTTGGGGCTACAGGATGCTGTGGGAATGGCAGACACTTATATAGTCACTCCAGGCCCAATGCAGGCAGGGACAAAGTCCTCTGTCAGACTGGGTTCTTACTGTCACCAGATGATGCCAGGGCAGTAGGAAGGAAGTCGAGATCACCCAGGCAGGCTTCCAAGCAGATGCCGAGTGGGGCTTGTGCAGCTATAGGGCAGCAGTCAGCCCAGGGACATGAGGGAGGGAGGCAGGGGCAGAGAAGCCAGGAGGCAGGACTGGCCTGCAATCCTTGTGAGGCCAGGAGCTGCCTCTCGAAACTCAGGGATTCCAGCCTGGCTGTGCAGCAGCCACCGGGAGTGCTGCAGAAGCCCTTACCCTGGCCATGTCTGGAGCTGCTGGACCAGGGCTAGAGCTGTCCTGAGACTGACATCCACCCAGGAGGAGAAGCTTTGTGGGAGGACAGGCAGGGTGCCATCAGGGTGACTGAGGTGATCACACAGGGGCTCCGGGAGGACAGCTGGAGGAGAGACAGCACTCAGGGACCATCCAAGCACAGGACAGTTGGCAAGCTCGAGCCAGGATGGAAGCAAGGAAGGGAGATGAGCCCAGACATAGTGGCAACAGCACCAATGGGCTAGTGGATGGTGTCACCAAGAATGTGTCAGTGCCCCTGGGCAGGGGAACCTCAGAGGTGGGATCTTCTCTTCAGTGTCAGGAGGCCCAAACAAAACTGAGCAATGGCAGCACAGGTTTAGTCCATGGCCAAAGTGTGGAGCAAGGGACCCCAGCCCAGTCATCTCCTCAGCCAAGTGGAAGAACAGACGCAGGATGGGGACAGTGGGAAGCTCAGCCTAAGCCATCTTCTCAGCCCAGGTGGAGGTGCAGATGTGGGATGGGGACATGCATGTGAGCTACACTGCCCCATGTACATCACCTTGCACATCGTGCACACACAGGGACACGTGTGTGAGCTACACTACTCCATGTGCATCATCTTGTACATCATGCATGCACATGGATAAGCATGTAAGCTGCACTGCTCCATGTACATCACCATGCACATCGTGCACACACAGGGACACACATGTGAGCTGCCCTGCTCCACGTGCACATCATGCACACACAGGGACAGGCGTGTCAGATGCACTGATCCACATGCATCACCAAGATCTGTGGTACCAGCCTATTTTAGAGGTTTGGTCATGCCAGTACCTGCTATTCATGAGCTCTTGCACACTGGTCTGAAAGCACCAAGAGTGTGTGATTCCAGTCTCGTGCAACGTGCTGTTTAGGCAGGGGCTGTGGCACCTCCTATCAGAAGGTGCCTCACTATGCTGTGTCCTGGGGTGTTATATTATCTGAGTTGGGTTTTTGCCAGTTTAAAAGTAGACAGTGGCATCTTAGTAATTCAGTTTTAAATTGACTTTATTTTGCATACATAATATATCCATGTAATTCCAAATTCAGGTGGTACAAGAGTACAAGCAGAAGGGGTCTTCCACACTACCTCTACTATTCCCTGACATGGGGGCATGGGGCAGCCACTTTGTTCCCAGTCCTCTGTGTCCTGGAGGTGGTTAATGCATATGTGTGCTAACATACACGTTTTTCCTCTTTCCTGGAAAGGGGGCACATGTTCATGGTGTTCCACACTTTTTTCTTTTTCTTTTTTTTTAAAAAACACCATTTCTAGTTCCCTATACGCATGAACTTACAATCAATCTAGTTGATTTTGATTGTCATCAAAATACTTCACTTTACAATTCTATTTTTTTTAAGAGAGAGAGAGAATTTTAATATTTATTTTTTAGTTTTCGGCGGACACAACATCTTTGTTGGTATGTGGTGCTGAGGATCGGACCCGGGCCGCACGCATGCCAGGCGAGCGCGCTACCGCTTGAGCCACATCCCCAGCCCTGTTCCACACTTTTTTCACATAATTTGGGGATCATGGGATAACAACAATGCTTTTTAAAGAGATGTGCTTGTCCCATAGGTGAGCTGGACCCAGAAAGGATGGGCTCAGGCATCCAGTACGGAGACGCCGCCCTAAGACAGCTCCGGTCCCCACGCCGCACTCAGGCCACGAGTGTGCAGGAGTGTGGCTGTTAGAGCCGTTACACAGGTGGGTGTGCCAGCTCCCTGAGCCCCCTGCCGCCTGCAACAGGAGGGCCGCGGAGCTTCAGTAGGAAAGGAGGCACCGCGTTAGCCACAGTCCGTGCTCAGGAGCTCCCAGGCCCTTCAGAGGACGGCAGGGCACATGGGGACGGGAGTGGCCGAAGCCCACCCACCCTGGTGCCTATGGAGGCACTCCTTGGTTTCTCCGCATCTACACATGGCACCTGTGGCTCCAGCCCAAGGCCTGCTCATAAAGCAGTGTGTCGCCACCGACTTCAAAGCTCCTTCTCTGGCCACTGCCACGGTCAGCTCTGCCCAGTGGACATAATGTTAGTCAAGAGGAAGTGTACCTAGTTCCTCCAGCACCCAGCAGATGTATTTCTGTATTTGTAGGTGTGCCTGTTCCCAATGGCTCTGTTTTTCAAGTGTCTGCGTGGTGTTGGGACAGTGGCTGGAGCTTGGAGAATCTGCAGCTTTTCCACCTCTTCTCTGCGCAGAAGTAGATTCTTATGGGGACGCTACTCCAGCTGGCGGAGGCAGCCCAGGAGCCACGTAATAAACCTGATGTGAGGGACGACACCGGCCGATGTGTACGCGCATGTGACTTTCCTGTTCCACTTCCCCCGCCTTGTCCGAGAGCACACACGCTGTGCCGTGTGGGCCCCGTCCATCTCCCCAGCATGTTCCTTGAGTGTGATAGGATAGGAATGGTGCTCTAAATGCAGTTGGATATTTCTTTAACCACAGGCACAGAGATTCATGTTGGTGTACTTGTGACCAACGTGCAAGGGCCCTGGCACCGGCACCCAGGGTCCCACTTATTCAACCGCACTTACCACACTCCACCGTACACGCCCCACACTTGAGATGCTGGAGCAGTCGCCCTTCACCAGCGACCCGAAATGAAATAAAAACTGGTGTTTGGTGAACTGGCATTGTCCTGCTCCATGGGCTTCAGGGCTTCTCCCTGAGGCCAGGCCAGGGGCTGTGTCCCACCCAGCAGACAAAACCTGCCACTCTCCCTGCTGTCCCTTGCTGGTCAGTCTGGTCTTCCTGCTAGGAAGACCACTGGAGTCCAGCCTCAGGACACCCTGCCTCTACCTCAAATCTTTTGTGTTGTGTTCTGTTTTGGTTTTTTTACTTCCTTTATACTGAAGCCCAGGGTGTTCTACCACTGAGCTATATCCCAGCCTTTCTTATTTTGAGACAGTTTCCCAGGCTCACCTTAAACTTTAAATCCTCCTGCCTCAGCCTCCCAAGTAGCTGGGATTACAGACGTGCACCACTATGCCCAGCCTCATCCTCATTATTTACTTTTTTTTTTTTTTAATATATTTTGGTACCAGAGATTGAACTCAGGGGCACTTGACCACTAAGCCACATCCCCAGCCCTTTTTTGGTATTTTATTTAAGACAGGGCCTCACTGAGTTGCTTAGGGCCTTGCTAAGTTGCTGAGCTGGCTTTGAAATTGTGATCCTCCTGCCTCAGCCACCCAAGTCACTGGGATTACAGGTGTGCTCCACTGAGCCCAGCTATTTATTTTTAATTATTGTATTTATCTGCCTATTTAGCAATACTGAGGACCGAACCCAGGGCACTCCATCACTGAGCCTCATCCCCAGCCCTTATTTTTATTGAGATAGGATCTGCTAAGTTAATGAGGCTCATCTTGAACTTTTGCCCTCCTGCTTGGCCACCTGAGTCAATGGGCCATTGATGTGCCCCCTCCCACCTGCATGTTGTGTTCCTTTTCTAGAGACCCACAGACTCTAGTTCATGTCATAAGGGTCATACTTATTAAGAAAGCCTTCTGAATCTTTGCTGGTGGCTTGATGTATGCTGTGGTTACCAGGCTGGCCTGGATTTGATCCAGCAAGGCCTAGCGGGTGTGAGGCGGGGACACCTATTATGTTACAGAGACTGTCCTCATTCTTAAAAATACCAATGCAAAAAATAGATAAAGATCTTTCTCTAAGGTTGAAATAGGTATTATTTAAGAGAAGTTAAAAAACATTCTTCACACAGGTGTGGTAAACACATCTTTGATCCTGCTACCCAGGAGGCTGAGACAGGAGGATCACAGTTTAAGGCCAGTCTCAGAACTTAGCAAGAACCCATCTCAGTAAAAAATAAAAAGTGCAAGGGATGTGGCTCGGTGGTAGAGCACCCAAGTTCAGTCCCTGGTGCAAAAATAAGAAGCATTCTTACCATATGTGCCTTTCCACTGGGACTTTTTAATTATGGACCAGAAATTTAACTTTAATTTAGAAGCTTCCCAGTGCTTATTCTCTTTTAATCAATAAATAAGCACAAAGACACAAACTCTGGGAAGTTATTTGACTAAAAAAATCAGTATGTATCTGTTTTAGTTTTTTTGGTTTTTTTCCCTCAATTCCTTATTATTTTACTTTGAAAAATGATTCTGAAGCAAATTCTCAAACTGGACCATGCTCCAGTGTCTCACACGGAATGGTGTCGCCCACTACCCTGAGGGTCAGCTCTTCATGGGAGGGGAGGAGCTGTCGCATTCACAGCAGGGTTTAGGACAGCGCTGGGCTGTTTGCAACCCTTAATGCAGCGGGCAGAGGAGGGGTCTGCTGGGGAGCAGACCCAGTACCCTTCCTGAGGCTGCTGCCCTGGAGGACACCCGGTCTCGTCTTCAAGGAAGCGTGTGTAGATTCTGGAATGGCAGTTTCCAGTCTTGCAAGAGCAAGGCTGTAGCATTGCTTACACTGGTGGTCACAGCCCTTCTGCAGCCTGGCTCTCTCGTCAGAGCTGGATGTCACAGCTGGAGACATAGCTGTGGCTTCTAGAAGACCCCCAGGGGAAGAACCCAGTGCCCAGCAGGTCAGTGGTGAACTCAGACAGGAATGATGGGAGCGCTGGGGCAGCCGGGTGGGAGCTCACATTCAGCATCTCTGGGCTTTTCTTTCTTGGGGGGAACAGTTAGAGGGGCCTCGAGGGGCCTGTGAGCTTTTAATGATTGTGTGCCAGTTATCAGGCAACTCTTTCCTGATCCATCTTAGAATTTCAGGGGAATTTATCGAAAACACTGGACTTGACAGCCCAGGCCAGAGAGACCAAAGGGCACAAAGTGACGGCCAGGGAAGCTTTGGTTCTCCTTTTGGCGCACTGGTCTTCCTCCATGTTTCATCATGGAGATCTTCGATATCCACCTGTGGGGATAAAGCAGCTGTTCAGTCACATAGCTGTCTACAGGACTCCAATTTACCCTTCCGACTTCACCTGCTTCATATGCTGTGGTAGTTGGAAACATTGGAGGTATTCCAGATTCCTCTGGAAAATGGTTTGTTTCCATCTTAGGAAGTCCCTTGCCATTGGGAACTTGGAAGGCAAAGATGGTGATATCTTTTCTCATCTTGCCATTACAGTTGGTTTTTCTCTTGTGAAGTCCTGGGGCCGTCCCAGCATGTGGTTGGTGGTTCCTAGAGGGCTGTCCCCTGGCCCTGGGCAGCCATGCCCCAGCAGGGCCCCAGGACCAGCCTGCCCCCTCAGCCAGGCACAGCTGCTGGATTTCTCAGCATGGGGACATGAGGTGGATCTCCTTCAGCTTGTCTCCGTGGTCTGGACTGTACTTTGAGGCCTGTATTTTATGGGAGGACACATTTGGTTCCGCTGCTTGTGTACCTGCACTGATGGAGTCTAAGCAGGGCTAGTGTCTATCAATTCAATGAAGGTTAATAACACTTCTAAATGGAATTTTGAAACAGAATTTGACAAGCTCATCCTGAGAGCCACATAAAAGTAAATAACTAGATGCTTGGCACAGTGACACAGCCTGTGGCCTCAGCAACTAGCCAGATCCTGTCTCAAAAAACAGAAGGGGGTGTCGCTCAGGACAAGGTGCCCTGGGTTCAGTCCCCACACCACAAAAAGGAAAGGCCCAGGAAATGGGAAGGTGGGGGACTGCGGACACAGACATGCTGCCAAGCCACAGGCAGGGGACACCACAGAAGCACTTAGAGCTGCCATCTGTCCCCCACTGGGGGGCAGAGGAGGGACAGAGGAGCTCCTCTGGAGGGTTTCCAGAGGCTGGTGGAAGCACACAGTGGGCGTGGAGGGGAGGGGAGTGGCAGTGAGAATCCCTCTTTGGTGGCTGATTTGTATCCTGTTTAATTTGATGTTCTTGTTTTGGCAACCAGTTGATACGGTGAGGTTCAGGCCCCAAGTTCCAATCTGCCTCCCTATTGGCAATTCCCATGCCTGATAGTAGGATGTGGAACCACCTGGGCCAATCGGGCCTGGGAAGAGGTCGCCATGGGCTCAGTTCCTAGCCGTCTTTGGCTTGCTGCTTAGGGTCAGTTCCACAGATGAGTGTTGTGCACAAGGTGAGTGGGCCAGCGGCCCAGGAGTTCCTAAGTAACTCTGGGAGCAGGGTGAAGGGCTGCACACCTATAATCCCACTGACTGGAGGCTGAGACAACAGGACCTCAAGTTCAAGGCCAGCCTGGGTGACACAGTGAGACCCTGAATTGAAATTAAAACTGAAGGGCTGGAGATGTAGCTCTGGTAGAGCACCCTGAGACCTCCACCCTCCCTAGTGCTACAAAAAAAAAAAAAAAAAAAACTGGCAGAGTACTTCCCCAGCTCTCCCTGCCCCTCTCCCCAGCACTGGCCGGTTCCTTTCTGATCCTGCAGCCTGGAACTGCCCACTGCTGGACCCGGGTTGCCCCTCAATAGGGAAGAGAGCCGTTCCACCCAGCCTCAGGCTGGTGGTGCCTCAGCTCCAATGAGGAGAGATGTTGGGTCTCCCCCACCCCATGCCTTCTTCAGATTCCTGCTGCCAAATGGTGTCTCCTAGTATCTTCAGCCTGAAAAATGAAGAACCAGACAAAAAGGGGGCCATCCCCACTCTACAAGCTGCAGATGTCCATCTCCTGCCTCTGTGTGGAAGCTATTGGGTCTGCACATCATGCTCCTTCTGTGCTTGGCCATGAGGAGCTCAGGTCAGAAGGACAGGAGAAGAAGGCTATGTAGGCTCAGGGTGGAACACCAGGGGAAGGTGGCTCTGCAGGCTGTCCTCCCTGGCTTGAGATGCGCCTGGTCAGTGTTCCGTAGCTGTGTTCAGTGACACTCTAGCACAAAACGTGCTTGCCCATCTCATGTGGAACCAGAGACTTTGCTAAAGACAAAGTGGAAAACACTGCAGGGTGTGTATAACAGTAAAACATATTAGTGCAAAGTCAGGGCTCCCAGGCCGAGCTCGCAGAGGCCGCCTGGCTCCCCCAAAAGGGAGCTGTGTCTAGAACCGTGCAGGGAGTCCTGTTCCCACCTGACATCGTGGGCACTCTGTGGCACTGACACTTTCTTGACTTCCAGACACCAGGGCCACTGAGCCTGTGTTCGGCACACAGCTCTCTTGGACCCCAGCCCATCTGCTGGACTTCCATGGAGGATGCAGGCACCAGCACAGTGCTTGCTCTTCCAGCCACAAACGCACCAACCAGAACTGCTTCTCAGAAACAAGAAGGCTCAGATAAATGCTACATGAAATGTGAGCTGAAACCACACTTCTTAGGAAAGACAACCCCAAGTCCTCGCTGCCCAGTCCGCAGTCCAGGGGCTGCCTGTGATCTGCAACAGTCTGAAGTGAACCCAGTGCTTGCCAACATGAAGGCTCTCAGACCAGCCATGCTAAAGGGAAAGACGGGAGGAGGGCACCCAGCACCTGCATCCCAAGAGGAGGCTCTGAAGGGGCGAGGTTGGTCCAGCACTACCCTGGCTACAGGCCGGGTGTTGGGCATACTCACTCCTGGTAACTCTAGTCACTCTAGCACACAAAAACCCACCCCTGGTGCAAAACTTCTGCTTGACCAGGTCATATTTTCAGGACCATTTTTCATGCAGACTGACCAGACTCCAGAGCGAGGATCTTCTATGGTCAGGTGCTGGCCCTTGGAAGCCAAACTACTCTGTGGTCAGGCCATTGGCAGCAGCCCAGTGTTGCTACTCCACCCTGAAGTGTCAGCCACCAGGAAACCACTCTGGTGTGCTCTGCCCTCCCCTTCATTGCTGACACTTTCAGGTGTCTTAAGTGCCCCGAACTCCAACTCCACAGGTACAGCTAAAGTACCATGGCCAAGGCTGTTCCTAACTGCAGATTTAGCAGTCACGGCTTCTGCTAGCTGACAGCCCAGGCTGGCGCTCTTCCCTACAGCCTCACAAGCTCTGTCCCATGAACTCAGGCCTGGGACCTGCTCGACACTGGAGGTACTGACCACTGGTCTCTGGGGTGGGTGTGTGCTGGCCTCCCCCAGAGCATGACCCAGTCATCACTGGAGCTGCACAAAGGCGCTCAGGAACTGGGTCGGGTGCACCATCAGGGCACTAGGAGCCAGACAGCTCCAACCAGGGCAGTCAGATGCCCAAGGATGCGTTGGCCCAGCAGAGGGCTGGGTGTTATTGCTCCAATATTCCATGACTGGCTTCGGTGTAAAAGTTAAAAAAAAAAAAAAACAAGTTGGTTTATGGCAAATTGTTTTAATAAGAACTTAAAGCCAAAATTTTAAAAAGACTTTATGTAGCATTTAAATAACACTGGATTCCAACCAGTTCTACTTTTCCAACCTGAAGGCAGCTTTACACTATCTCCCTGTCTTGCAACATGTCCTAAGAATTAGGAACATGACCACCACCACATCAGTTCCCAGTAAAAGAAGAAAGTAGGAATGTCACATTGTTACAATTTTTAAAAATTCATAGGCTCAAAAGGTAACTGTGCCCTTGAGAAAAGGGAAGAGGAGGATCTCGACCATCGAGGGCTCAGACAGGAGGGACCACAGCTACCACACTCAGCCACTGGTTGTTCATGCACATGAGAAGTCCCTTAACTACCTTGTCCATCCATCTTCACTTATAAAGAAGGGAGACTTGCCAATCTGCCTTCCAGGCCTGGAGTCGGGGAAAGCGCACAGACAAGTGTGTTTCCTAGACATCCGGCAGACACAGGCTGGAGGAGTAGGGTGCCAGGTGCCATGCCTGGCTGACTTTCCAACACAGTCAGATGCAACATGATGCTCAGCCAGTGGGTGAAACCACCTGAGCCACACCGTCACCATGCCAGGGTTATGTGACCCACAGGTTCCCACAGCATTTGAAGATGTGTGACTGGTTAAATCAAAGTTCACTAGAACTCATAGCCAGGGTGTCAGACACCATGTAGAACTTCTTCTTGGTAAGCACACTCCTCCACGACAAGGCACGCTCTCCATACAGGACTCACCTCAGGACCACAGCACTCAGGAGGCTCTAAGAGGCACTTTCACGGCTCGACACAGTGACAAGATGATGAATTTATGTGGAGTGAGACCAGTCTGTGTGCTAAGAGCCAGCGGACTTGAGAGACCCTGAGTGAAAACCCAGGCATGTCAAGCCTCAAGTCCAACACCAACTTTCCACTGACGCCCGCAGGGGCTAAGCTGCAGGACCTGCTCGTTCCCCTAGAGCACCTGCCCTCGTCCTTCCTGGACAGGCCTCGTCAGCAGGGAGACCCACCCAGCACCTGAGAAATCAGTGTGAAGACCATTTTCCATCCTAGAGGCAAATGCACAAAAGGATCAGCCCTGCTGAGACACAGCTGCATGCGCTCAGGCCCCCAAGCTCCTGTAAGGTGTAGGTAAGATCTGCTGGCCAGGAGCCAAACACAGTCAGTTCAACCTGAAGCAGGAACACCACAAACCACCAAGACCAAGTTCTGCAGAAGGAAGAGTGGAGAAGGCAGGTGGGCAGTGTCTCTGAGAGTGTCTCAGTTCATTCCATGTGATTCCAGGGCACGCATTCTACATGTCCTGCCAGCTGCTGCAGAAGAGGCTAGAGTCCACAGCCTGTAACCGTGGCCAGCTATATCTTATATGTTCTGAAGAGAAATGCTGTAATTAAAGAGAGGTGAACTGGCTCACAGCAACTGCATAACCACCTACACACAGTGGCCGCGCTGTGTCTACTGGAATGTGTGTGGCTATTAAACTGCTGAGGGAGCGCCTAGGAGATCATCCAGAGAAGCCAGGCCTCGCCAGCCCAATCCTTGAACACACGACCCGTGTGAAGGTTGGTGTGAGCTGAAACACAAGCACCTCTGTACCTGCAGTAGCCATCACAGCCCTGCTTCACCACAGATGGATGCTAGATCCTGGGGAGAACTGGGCCCGAGGCCACGGGGAGTGATACTTGCTGGATACTCTCTCACAAAGAAAACCACGTGTCAGTAAACACAAATCTCGTGCAGGACGGGGACCTCACAAGTGTGAGTTGGAGGCCCCTAAGGTGGGTGACACAGCCCACCTGTGCCACCTAGAGGGGGACGGAAGCCTCATAGTTGTTTAAAGGCATCTGGTGTCAGTAACTCAAAGGAAAGATGCTCACAGACACAACTCTAACAAGAATACCAGGGGCCTGGGGCTTGTCTTCACAGGTAACCAAGTGTCTATGGCTTCAGCTTTCTGCCCTACTGCTGACGTAGGTGATGAGATTCACGACAGGACAGCCTTTAGCTGTTCTCCGAGAGGCCCTGCATGGTCAAGGTCTCTCGGCCAGATCCGGGTCACAGACAGACTGGCCCCTGGGGAGCTCTAGGCCCTTGCTGAGAAGCAGCGCATGTACTCCGTCACCCAGGGGTTCTCTGCAGAGGGGGCCCTCGCTGTCCTGCCCCTCTGCACCTCCACCGAGTGCGCACGCTGCCGCTGAGCAGCCAGCTTCCTCTTCTCCTCCTGCCTCCTGCTCCTGGCCCGCAGCGCCGACTCGTGAATCTAGGGAGGAGAAACAGCAGTGAGTCCACTCTGCGCTCATCATCAAGAATGCCTGCCAATGGGCCTTCTGCAAACCTGAGCTCCCCCAGGAACACGCACACCAGATGCCTGCGACGCAATGCTGGGCAACAGAAGACTAAACCCTGAGTAGAACCAGGGAGCAGCAGGGTCAGCTCTGCATCTGCTGGGAGGGACCCACCTTCTAAACCAGCACCTGGAAACGCCCAGGGCTTTCACCAGGTGTCACCCTTCAATGGCAAAGCCTGTTAAAATCAGCCCCAGGGACTGAGGTCCTTGGAAAAACAGCCTAGTGGCCTCAAATTTCACTCCCAATGCCAGCATCTGCTGGGCCCAGAGTTCAGGGAAGCTGTGTAGAATGGCCATCAGCGGGCAGCTCCTGTCCTCTCCTGAGCCACCCTGCTCCAGCTGTCACAGCATCAGTGCTGCCAAGGGACTCACCATGAGATGCTTCAGGTCCTGACAGAGCACAGACAGGGCCTCGTCAGAGGACCAGAGGCCCTAGGAGAAAATGCATCCCTCCTGGACAAGCAGGAGAGGGGCCTGGAAGACATCTGGGAAGCAGGCCACCAAGCAGCCCTGGACACCAGCTTGTCGAAGCCAAAGAGAACAGCCTTCACAAGGGCAGCGGCAAGTCCAGGCCTGCTGCACTCCTCTCTGCACCCCTGACCCCTGGGAGCTCTAGAGCCACACAGCCAGGCCCACTCTCCCCTGGTGTGTGTCAGTAAACCCATCAGGTGCCAGCCAACGCCCAGCACAAACCCCTGCTGCCCAAGTAGCGGCATCCAGAGCCTCCTGCTGGTAACCAGCCCTGGTTCTGGGCTTTCCTGACCTCCACCCCACCACAGGATCTTGCAGGCCCAGTGCATCCCAATGGTTTCCAGGGAAGAACAGAAAGGCAGGCCCGCACCTCATGCACCGATGCAGAGGCACAGACGTTGTGGGTCTTCTGGCTTCCGGTGTCTGTCTGTCTCTCTCCCCAGCCGTAAAGAGCAAATGGGTGCTTGTTTTCTTTTATTTTAGTGGATGATCTTTGGGGGCTTCTGACAGCTTTCCTACTTCCTCTAGCAAATAAGGCACTTGGTTGCTGTCGGGGTTTGACACCAGCGGGTAACCTGTCCGTCTCCTTCACTCTGGTTTGTTGTTCGGGTTTTTCTTCTACATCTTTCACTGGCAGTGCTTTGAAAAAAGGGACAAAACAAGAGAAAAATACCTTGAACCACACTTACGTGCAGTTGCTGTTTGGGCTGCAGCATCATATTTCTTAAGCCAGCGACACTTTAACCAAGGGCTCAACTCCCAAGTTTCACTAGCACAGAAGCACAGAGACATCTGCATAGGACCTTTATCCCATCTTAAAATAACAAATGTCCCACACTGAACAGGCCTATTCTAGAGCAAGCGGGCCCTGCCTTCTGCGGTGTGGCATCCCCTGACCCTGACAGGTGGAGTGCCATGGCATGGGCCATGGCATGGGCCTCTTCCACCCACTCTAGGCCCCAAAGGCACTGCCTCAGGGAGGATGACTGTCATCTTGGACAGCCACAGAATGCTGGGTTTTAATTACTAGAGCTGCAGGATTGCATCTCTTTTGTAGTACTGGGGTCTGAACCAGGACCTTGCACATGCTAAGCTAGCACTCTACCACTGAGATGCACCTCACCTTTGATTTATTTTGAGACAGGGTCCTAAATTGCACAGGCTGGCCTTCAATTGAAATTCTCTGCCTTGTCTCCTAAGAAGCTGGGATTACCAGCTATTCCTTTTTAATATTCCTGGTCATGGAAATGCTGCTCACCTGCTCTTAGGAGCTGGCTGGCCACCCTGACATGAAGGCCCCTGTCCCCAGTAGGAAGCAGTCTTCATGGCTCTTCACCTGGGTGACAGCTCTGTATTCCCAGTATGAACAGCAAACCACGTAGACTGCTCTGAGGGGCTCCCCAACAGCTGGGGTCAGCTCCAAGGTCTACACAGCCCTAAATTCTGCCAGCAGAACTAGGTAATGGTGGATGTGGCTGCCCAGCCTGAGGAGAATCTGACAGTCCTGGCTGTGTGCAGTGGCACACGTCTGTAATCCCAGCTGCTCGGGAGGCTGAGGCAGGAGGATCTCGAATACAAAGCCAGCTTCAACAAAAGAAAGGCGTTAAGCAATTCAGTGAGACCCTGTCTCTAAATAAAATACAAAATAGGACTGGGGATATGGCTCAGTGGTTGAGTGTCCCTAAGTTCAATCCCTGGTACCTACCCCCCTAAAAAAAGTACAGACACCTTCAAAACAGCTCTGATTTCTCCTAGTTACCTTTTAGGATTTTACCATTATTTTTTATAAATCCCTCCTTCATAATAAAAGGCTCTGCCTGTTTGCCTCCTGCCTCAAGGTAAGCCTGAGGTCCAGGCATTAGTGGACTCCTCCTCCAGAGGCCACAGAACTTGCCTCTCAGTGCCAGCCGTAAGCCTGCCATGGGGGCCTGGTCCCCTCGCAGTCCAGATTGCACTGTGGCCTCCTTCCTTATTCCCCTGGGGCAGAGTGGACCCTGTGTGGGCAGTCGAGGCACAGCAGCCCGATGAAGACATCTGCAGGCCACCTGCCACTCTAGCCTGTGCTGACTGGTGCTACCACTGGCCCTACTCCTTACAAACCCTGAGGGGCAGGTGACGCATGTCCCATCCTGGGGCCCAGGGTGTGCCTGTCTCTTCAAGCCCCGCAGTGGAGTGTGGGGAGGAGCAGTGGAGTGCGGGGAGGAGGGAGGGACACCAGGCTCCACCTGATAGCAACTTAAATGCGCTCACTGGGAAGGGGCACCCTCAGGATCTAGGAGGGTATGGGGTGGGTGGGACCTGGCTCTGACATGCTGAAGAGCACCCCTTCTTCCTCGTGGCTAGCTCACCCCAGAAGCCTGCCCCCAGAAGCAAGAGTGACCTATAATAGAAGACAAGCTGGGGCTAGCCAGGCAGAGAACAGGAGCGGAGTGCCAGGAGGAGACATGGCTCAGGAAAGGGCACCAGGGAACAGGGAAGAGGGATGACAGACACTTCAACATGCTAAGTCCACAGAGAGCCTAGGGAGGAGGCTGCAGGTAGCGGAGGAATACAGACTCTCCATGCAAAACTCAGGAGTTTTAATTTTATCCTGCAAATGGAGAATCACTGAGGAATTTCAAGCTGAGAAATAGTGTGGTCCTACCTGCACTTTAGGAATGAGGCATGTAGCACAAACACGTTCGGTCAGCTAGGAGGAGAGGGCATGCCAGGAAAAGTGGCAAGCAGCCCAGGGTGACCCCAGGGTGGTCAGCCAGCAAGGATCAGAGAAGGCCCCCAAGCTGACAGGTGCTGACTCACCTGGGCCCTGTGACCCAGCTCAGTGGGGTACACCAGGCCAGGTGTTCTGGGCAGGTGGTCACACCACCCTCTGAGACCCACCCAAGGATGAGAAGAGGCGCCCAGCAAAGGAAATGGCCTGCTGGACCCCAGCCTGAGCACAGGGGAGACAATCGCTGGATGCGAGTGTGGTGAGTGGGAGCTCCAGGGTGGCCTGGGTCACCAAGAAGTGAGGGGAAACGCAGATCCAGGCCTTGGGGTGCAGCTATCTAATGAGCAGGCAGAGAAAGGGAGTCCAAGAGCAGGACAAAGGAAGGAGAGCTGAAAAGTTGAAAAAGACCACCAGAAGGGAAGCTAAAGAAGGAGTTTCAGAAAGGAAAGAGCCATCAAGGGTGCCACATGTCACAGGGAGATGGTGTGAGGGGAAGAGCAGGGGCCATGCTAGGCAGTCTGGCTGTCCCCATATGAAGGATGAGGGGTGGCAGAGCAGGGCAGGCCCAGGACCCAGCAAGGCAGGTGCCACCATCCTGGTGAGCAGCCAGGATGGCCCTGGCCAACACCCCCCACCCCAAGGGCATAAAATGGCTAAAAAATATGGTCCCAGGAGAACACTGTCCACAGGTACCCAGCACAAGACCAATCGTGCTCTGCAGACCTCAGCCCCAAAGAAGCCCTACAAATGCCTTCAACTCAACTCCCAGTGCATCAAGGACAACAGGCACACACAGAAAGCAGAGAAGGCTGGCCAGCTGGAACGAGCCCGAGATTCTGGAACCGCCATCTACCAACCACGAAATAACTACATCTTTGCCCTCTGCACCTAGAGAGGAAGACACAGCTGGGGATCATCTGCAGCAGAAGGCAAAAATGGATAAATAAGAACAAATCACTGTAATTTTAATAGTTAAAAACTCTTAAAATAGTTCCTGGTACAGGATAATTATATATGTGCTTTTAAAATCCTATTTGAAGGGCTGGGGTTGTGGCTCAGTGGTAGAGTGCTTGCCTTGCATGTGTGAAATAAAATAAAATCCTAGTTGAAAGAATGAAGTTTAAAATAAAGACATTTCAGACAAACAAAAACAACATTCCCTACCAGCTACGCCTCTATATAGGCAACTGATGGACGTTCAAACAAATTCTGCCTCGATTTATAACAGTGCTGTGCAGTGCTTAGTTGCTAACCACATGGGGCTATTCAGTACCTGTTTAAAGTAAATAAAACGAGATTCCATTCCTCAGTACACTGGTAACAGTCCAAGTGTCAGTAACATATTAGTCAGCGAGGGACAGGCCCTCATCACAGAAGTCTTACTGAACAGTCTGTTTAAAAACATTTGACCAGAATTAATGAATCCGACCCACTAGGTGCAGTGTTGCAGGCCCAACAGCGGCAGCACATGGGTTCTCATCAGGATGATGTGGACACATGTAGGACTTTAGCCATCCAGAGACGTAAGTCAAATCTTCACACATCTATAAAACTGAAATCATATGCAATGTATTCTTAAACCACAAAGTAATTAAGCTTGACTTTAAAAAACTTTTAAAAAATCTCTCCCATTTTTATTCATACTCCTAAGCAACCATGGCACACTGTGGCCACAGAAACCCTGAAGGTGTTCAGTCAGGAGCCAGGCACCCTGAAGGATCGGGAATTGCATGTTCTGCCAGTCTTACCACACACAGAAGTAAAAGTTGTAAAGCAGCAGGGACAAAAGACATCTTTTTCTTATTTCTGATCTTATTGAGAATTTTCCCCAAGTGCCCTCATTAGCCAGGTGTGATGGTCACACCTGTAATCCCAGCTACTCAGGAGGCTGAAGTGGAAGGGACATCAGTTCCTGGCCAGATCCTGTCACAAAATAAAATAAAAAATAGTGCCCTCACTTAGCGTGTCTGTAGTAGGTTTCTGTAATATAGGGTTTTTTTTAAGATAAATATATTTCCTTGTCTGTGTTCTATACATACGTGTAAAACTTCATCAATTTTTGTGACTATTTTTAAGAATCATATCTAAACTAGAAAATGTGTTTAACTGAGTCAAAACACAGCATGACAAAAATGCAGCATGTAGCTGAAGCGATAATCAGGAAATGTACTATTTTAAAAAGATCAGATCAAGAAAGAAAGGCAGGGAAAGCAGCTGAGCATCCACCTCACAAAGTAAGAATGATTAGAACAAGCCGGAAGAAAATGGCAGCAAGGAGCAGAGATCACCCACAGAGCCAAGGACTAGTTTGGGGAAAAACTAAAAGAATTCACAAACCATGGTAGCCCAACAGGAGAGAAAGAAAGAAAAAATGCAAATAAATCAAGAGGGGGTCCGAGTCAAATGAGCACTGAAAACATGTGCAAGTAGCCTCTCCTTGCCCAGCCCATGGGGGAGGGAGGTCAAGGACAAGTCAAAGGCACGAAGGCAAAGGACAAGGGGGGTGAGGACCTCAGCACAAACTGCCAGCAGAACCAGTGGGGCAAGGGGCGGAGGCCACAACCAGCCCCACTGGCTGAGCCATCCCAACCGCCTGAGGACCAGGCACCCAGGACAGGAGCCAGTAGGTCCTGAGAAGGCTGTCCTGCCAAAGGTCCAGCACCGACCAGTCAGCACCCAGCCCCACAAGCAGCTCTGAGAATGCAAGGGCTATGCCTCCATCTTCCCACTGGGCCTGAGCAGACTTCTGTAACTCCTGGGGCCTGAACAGGTCAGAGAGGTGCTGTCTGACAGATCACAAAGGGCAGCAGAGCCTCCGCCAACTCGTCTTGGCACTGCCCTGGGAGGCCAGCAGAGGTGGTCAGGAGGGCCAGGCTCAGGGAGAGGTCCCGCATTGGGTGGACCCAGTGGCTCCAGCTAGGCAGAGGCT